AGTTCAACTTACATAATAAACCGATTCGGAATCGTTCCATTTTAGATAATCATAAAACGACCCTAAATTAGTACTGCAAATCATAATTCAGCAATGTGTGAAATAGGATTATGTCATATGAGAAAGAATGCAAATGTATGCAAAATAGGATTTGAAAAGAACAACCCCCAACCGTTGCCAAACATATGCCATCAAACCTAATCTGGTTGTCAAGTCAGATTAGCATTTTTAACCAACCCATTTCCCCCGAGAACCGTATTGAACACAAAATAACAGTTGCAGTTACAGCCTTTTGCCTGTTTCAACTCTGGTTTGTGTATAATTATTGGCTCGACTTGTTTCCCGTTTGACAAACTTCGAGGCAAACACAAATAGCAGCCTACCAACATGCATTTCTCATGCCTACCCATGTTGCATTATTAACCAAATTGTACCGCCTGACGAGTTCTCAAAATCGAAATCGGGTGAAAAAGGGGAAAGCCCCCAGGCATCTTACAGCACTCAAACGGATGCATTTTGCATGTCATCCACTTTCAACTCGCTCATGTGTGCATTCTGCATTTCTGCATCGTACAATGCCACTTGACATTCGTATTCGCATTAGCAGATCCGGAGGAAAGCAGGGGAACTTCACTGGTTAATGGGTTAATGGTCTTTGAATGTTCAACTTGGGGGTCTGCCAACACATTCGTTTCCTAAAAAAGATGCCATGGATGGAAACATTAACAAACATGAAAATTCATTTGGTTTTTTTTTTATTTATTTTTTAAAGTGAATTTTATTTTTTAGCTTAGCAAGTTACTTCGATAAAAACAAGAAAAATTAAAGATAAAAACCAAGAATAAAACTAATTTTTAACAAGGGAATCTATAAAAATCGATATCAACTGAGATGTTACATAAAATATTCCAAATTATTAATTTTGGGGTTTCCTTCAACAAAATACTGAAACGCACTTGTTAACGTAAATTTTCCCAAGTACATATATTTTTATGCATGTTTGAGCATTATGTCGGCCGCCAGTTATTATAATAAAACCGAGTTCGAGTTTGCTTTTCGCCTTCCGCTACGGTTGGTTGTTTTCGTGCCCCTCGGCTGCGTTTTTGGCTCTGAATCCATCTGGTTCTGAATCGGGTTTGGTTTATTCTCTCTGATGCCTCATTGTGAATTCAACGGGTAAACATTTGTACAAGTGTCCGGATCGTTGAAGGCAGTTAAGGAGGGCTTCAGTTGCTAATTTTTCAGACCGAAAAATAGTGCACAGGGAATTTACGATTGTAATAAAATGTAAGAAAACAATTAAAATTATGCAGAGTTTCTGAAAAATGTAATAAAAAATAATTGCAATATATTTAATGATGAATATGTGTATGTACAAATTCACTAGGGTATCGGTTTTGTTTTAATTTTTCAATTCGAATCACATTCTTCGCTTAAAGGATTTCAAAAAGCCCTTAAGTATTAATTGCTTTGTAAGTCAGTGGTATTATAGTTTCATGGGAGGCAACCACCCGCCAAGTGTCTGAGTTACTAAATGCCGGTTAATTGCGATCGCGTGCTCTAAGAAAAGAAAGGGTTAGTGTCCGAAATGCAACAAAATCGAAAGCGGCACGAACAGGGGGACTGCAAAGGAAGTTGACCCAGTTCCAAGTGGGGGGTGAGATACAATGACCTTAATGTTGTTGGCCAGCAAAAGTGGAGCTTAACTTTGTGTGCAATGTTGAAGAAAACTTTGCATATTACGGGTTGGGAAATGGAACGGGGACTGCTGGCTGGTTGGGCGGATAGATGGTTCCTAGTTGGAGTGGCCTGACTTTGAAAGTGTATAGCTCCCACAGCCCAAACCACTTTCCAATGCAGCCAAACGCCCCCGGCCACACACACACACTCTTTCCCAGGGGCATTTGCATAGCCCAAAGGGGCAAAGTCCTCGTGCTGTTATAAATGATGATGATATGCATGAATGGTTGGGTTACCCAGTTCCAGTTCCTTTTCTTTTTTTCATTCCGGCGCTCGATTGTTCACTTTGAGCAGCAACAGTTTGTTTCATAATCCATTTACTGTCAACTTGGTGTCACTTTTCATTGAGGAAATTCTCCAATTTCGACCCCACTCCTTCTTCCGAAGAGTCGAGTTTTATGGATATATTTTTATGGGGTGTTGATTGGGCGGAGGCACTCAAGCCGAAAACCACTTTTACGGGCCAAGGTTTTCGGGTTCACTGGGTGCTGTTGGCACTTTGTTGTTTTAAGAGTGATGGTTCTTGGCCAGATCTATGGCTTGCCTAATCCCTTTTTAAGCCACGGTGCCTCTCGTTCCGCTCTCTCGAATCGGTCAGTAATCAATCAATTACCCTTAAAGATTCTGGTAATTATCGGGGGATAATCCAAGCCAAAAATATCAAAATACTATAGATCTGGCAGCTGCACCCGAAGCGTGTAATGGTCGATAATGACTGCAACGCGAGACCAAAACTGGAAGATATGTATGTGTCTGGAGGAGGAACAAACACTCAACCAGAGTTGAACAAAAGCATCTGCCGTCGTTCGCAGTGGTTCGTAGTTGCATGTAATCTAAACAATACCTGCCGGCCATATCGGCATCTCGCATTTCGCACAGCTAACTCCTCCTAATCCAAAGCAGTTCAATCAGGAACAATGAACCAAAGAAAGCATCGGTGAGCAAGGAGCGCGGAGCTGGGACAAAAACGAAGCACAGGGCATATTGACAGAGGGGCAAACATGGCACGACCACCACACACACTGACCAACAATCGTACTCAAAATCCTAGGAACGCGTAAGAATATTCTTTCAATCGACCTTTTTAAAAGAAATAGCTAGTCAAGTACCCATTAAATATATTCCTTTTGAATATAAAAATACATTTACATTACAAAATATAGTATACTTATAACATGTTAATCTTTTGAGTTATAGAATAAAAAATCGTGTAGTTAATAATTCAAATTACATATACTTGTTATAGGACTTGATGATTGCTATTCCAGCATTTTCCTTGGCCTTAGGGCTATTCTTTTGAAGACAGCTGTATATCTAGAAGGATAACACACATCGTTTTGTTGCTTTAGCCATACAGGTAGCATCCATCGTCTTTGTCCGTCTGTTGGGCAGCTGCAAAAACTGCAGCAGCAACAGAAATTGGCCAGCCACTTACCAATGCTCCCTCCTCCTCGTTCGCCTCGCTTGCTCTCCAATTTCGAGTTCTTTTGAGCCGGGTTATTTTGAAGCATTTGTGCCAGGCAGCCGAGTAACCAACCTATTACCTGTTGTAAGAATGTATCTATCAAACGCATGCACACACATTTGCGCTCTCCATCAGTGGATTGATTCTTCTTTGGCCTTCGTTCGTTCGTTCTTTCGTTTGTTTGTTGGTCTTCACTTGCCAAAATTGAAGGTGGATGGATGGGTAGTTGGAATCGAGTTGTACAGAACGGTTTGGTTTTCCAGAAGACTTGCTGATGCAGTGCGGAAAAGTTATAATTGCCAGATGTCTATATGGGCAGAAGCCAGAGAAGATGAAGTGTGTGGAGATTGGGCTTCAACTCCATGGGTGGGAGACTAACTTTATTTGGCGACTCAATACAAACAAAACAATTTCAATTAGAAAAAGTAGCTCAGTAATTGCTTCGAAATAAGATCAATTGGTTTCTTATTACTCAATAACCCGTTTTGGTTTGATTAACAATAATCTCCGAAGCAAACTAATGGCTTTTATAATAAAAATTTGCATTTATTTTTCGCATTTAAAATGTTTAATTTAATATTTTAAACATATTTATTTTTTAAATTTAAATCATGTTTGTATCGGCTTGTCACAAAAAGTGTTGGTTATTAATAAAGCCTTCAGACTTTTGGTTTCTTAATTTAATGAGAACAATCTGTATCTGTTAACTTCCGGAAATCTGGGAATGTATCTGTCTGTGCGTACATGTGAATGTGTTGATGTATTCTCCGCTCACTCTGCATATTGCGCTTTGCATGGAAACGGAATTCCAAACTAAATTTCGCCAATCGCCAACAACAAATGCACGCGGGGTTATAAGTGTAGGAAAAGAGAGCAGAAGAGCGAGGCAGTGGAAAAAGGGGGAGGCGGGAGAGGAAGCGGGAGCAAAGCTCATCCATTAGTTGTCGTCACACACAACCTGAGATACATTTTCATTGTTCTTGCTTCTTCTCCGTTGGCTCTTCTTCCTCTTCTTTATTCTGTGTGTGTGTGTGTGTATCTGTCATTCGGCCGCTCATTGTGTTTGCATAGGTAAGCGGGAGAGAGGGAGATAGTGAGATGGGGCTGAGCCAGCGAGAGATTGACAGATAAACCTGCAATGAGGTTATGTTTACTGGACCACCTTCGCAGGTTCGCTCAAACAAATACGCTCACAGACACGGCAGTCCGTCTCCCTCTCTTTTTTCCCGTCTGTGGAGAGGGCAATTGACCGATGTTGAAGCGCATCTAAAAAGGTAATTTGCCGCACTTTTGAGAATACTTCACTTTATTCGTTGTTACCTGCTCTTTGTTGACCACTGTTTAGGATTGATGGGCAAATTTATTTCTCTCTAATGTGGAAAAAAACTTTAATAAAGCAAAAGATTGATCGGTAGACAGGTTGTCGAATTGCGATGTCTTATGGTTACAAAACTCATCAAGAAACTCATGTATGAATCATGTATTTATGATTCAGCAATTTGAATGTTTTCTTAGTGCAATAAACATACCATTTGTAAAAAGAAACCCAAAAAGATTTTAGAGTTTCCATTTTTTACTAGGATTATGTTATGATGTTATGACCCTATGAACTCTAAAGCATTTAAAAGTGGGTGTGACGATCTGCATTATTTTTAGTTGCTACAATCACACAAAACAGTCAGACATATGTTAATTAACAGACATGCTAATTATGTTTATTTTTCTGTGCTAATCCAATTTCTTTTTGTTTTGTCATTCCAGGTAAATAGCTCTCATAATTACGTGCCACTAAAACGGTAGCTGGATATTTCTGGATGTGCCCATGGTAGATGGTAACAAGTTGTTGACCATAGTAGTAGAACCCAAGTTGCTAATGATTTCGGAGGCAAATTATCTCTACCTCAAGTTTAACGACCTTTTGGGGTTACTTAACATTTAATTGGGATAAAATGAGGGCCCATACTTGCGTCCATAAACCCAAGTAATTATGGCAAGACGATGGCGTCAAGTCAAGAAAGAGATTTTCAAATGATGTACAACCTGAACGTGACGGACTAATTGACGAAGAAGCTAAGAGTATCCTTGGCCGAAAGTCCTTGATGTCTTCTTATTTATTTATGAAGCAATTTTTAAGGGACGACGGCCACATAAAATGGCTTCATAAAAACATGGCCAAGACACGGGAGTAGAGGAAGTGGATTAAAACTAATTTCCTACGTAATGCACACACTCTGCGAAAAGGGAGGAGGTTATAACTTGGGGACTCTGGCGGTCTGGCAGTCACTCAACTCAACTGGACTGAACTCAGCACAGTTCTGTTCAGCCATTTGGCCCCAGAGAACGACACAAAGCAATCAAAGCGCAACCAACTGGGCGAACCGAACAAATCCCCTCCCCGTTTCCACGCCCCCTTTTGGCCACTGTACTGTACCGGTCAACGGAGCAGAACCACCCGGTTGGACCCACCAACAGACAGTCAAAAGAACAGCCAGCCACAAATGGCCATAAAATGAATGTGTATACAGCTGTGGTCACAATAATGGCTCTAAAGGTGCCACTTTCATATTTATGGCATTTGAAGAGCTACGAAATAAATCGGGTCCTCCTAACACTGATGTACAATTGTATATAACTAATAATAATATATGTTAGTAATATGTAAAGTTTTAAATTGTTTTGGAATACAAATAAGTATTTTTAGGAGTTTCAAGCCGTTTATCAATTAAAAGAAATTTAAATTTACATCTGCTTTTAAATACAATGCTATTATTTTGACCGCACTTGTGTTACCAAAAGAAGGAGACCGACAAGGCGAAAATTCAGGGTAAAAAGACTAAGGTAGAGGGCTTTGAGAAATTGCTTTGGCTACAACGTTATAATATTAACTGTTTGGGATGTTTTTGCTGTTGTTGGCTTTCCGCTTTGACATTTGTGGGCTAAAAAAAATAATTAGCCTAATATATATAGGCCAGCAACCAAAGCAGTTTTGCACTGGAAAATATTTTAATGAAAATGTTGCTAAAACAAAAACATTAATACTTAATTTCTGGATTCCAAGATATCACTTGGCTAAATAATCTTTGGTAAAGTTTAGTTTTATAACGTATAGTAACCAGTAAAATAATAATAATTTATTTTGAGTGTCGGTAATAAAGTCAAAACGTTCTCCTGCTTGTGCGTCTCGGGTTTTATGGCTAATATAATTTGGCACTTTGATTGCTACGAGCTGAGTCGGTGCAAAATAAATGATTATTTGGCATGTCGTGGCAATGAACCCCAGACAATATAAATCCGAATTGTTATAAGAGCTGGGTCGGTCAATTAGCACACAAACTCAATGCCTAAATATACGCACATTAGGCGTTGGCAACAATTATATATGGGGAAAAATAAATAAATCAGATTTGTATACGCGGCCGTTTGGACAAGGAAATATCAACCAATTTTTGTTGCATCTCTTTATTGCAGCATGCATGATTGGACCGATATCGAAATATATTTTCGGCAAGCACACAAAATTCGTCGAATTTAAAAATAATAAAATTGTAAATTGTTTTTATTTTCGTTTCCCATCTTTCGCTGTTTTTATTTTGTGCTGACTTTTAATAGGCCAACTACAACAATTTGCGTGGCTGTCAGCATTTCTCACTTCTGTTTCTCTGATTTCTGCCACCCACACTTGACCTGACCCATTGACAAGGGTATTTGCAATTAATAGCCCTCATCTGCCTACATTTTCGAGTGCAATTTAAATGTGTGAACCATATTTAGACGCTTGGCTAAGCATTTTTTCTTTTTGATTTGAATTGGCTCATTTATAAGGTGTTTAATGCTGGTTGGGTAGTAATTAAAGCGAACGAATTTCGGTAAAACTAATGTCTTGTGACTCCCTGTTTGCTTACTAAATAAAAACTATATTTAAAAGGTAAAGCTTACCAAATTTGCGTTCTGCAAAACTTGACTCTAGAGCTTTTAAAAGAGGTTCACTGTTGTAAAAGCAAAAACTGCATTTGTAATGGAAAATCAAAGTGCTCTTAAAGGGCATTTAATTGAAGTCTTCTCAGTAAATCCAGCTCTGCTATATGTCTGTCAGACACTCGAGCCCCTGCTGATAATCGGATTAGATTTTCCGGTCCTAATTGGCACTCGACAAGGGCGGTAAACTGATTACCCAAACCGCTACAATTGATTCCCCCCTGTCTTTTTGATGTTTGGCCACAAATTCTGGACAATGGCCAACCAATTTCGGATACACACCTAGTCGATCGTGTGTGCAAACAAACAATTAACATTTTTTGCATTTTGTTGACTTTTTGGGTTTTTTTTTCTGCCCATCCGCGCATTGTTTGCCATCAATTCTTACACTTGCCCGCAAAATATCTAAATATTATGCTAAAGCAAACACATTTTGTAAACAGCTGCGAGTGCAACTATTCGCCCCCTCCTCACTTTGCGCCTTCTTCTTGGTTCTTGGAGGTGCTTTTGTTAGTATTGGCACAGTTTCAACAGCGACGCATCGACCACGCCCTAATTGCCACGGAATCGTGGCGGCCTTTTTTCGCTTTTTTTTTCGTGCCCCGAAATCGCTTGGGCCGAAGCAATTTGTGCAAAAAGCTTTGCGTTTGACCCACACAACAGCATAAATAAACAAAATGCTTAGCAGAATTATAAATGTATAGTGGCCGAGTTTACATTGATGTTTTTAATGCCAGAAAGATAAATTAATGGGTAAAAATATGTACATGAATTGGATTCTTAGCCAAACGATTATTTGATATATTCACACAAGGAAATATTTTTATTTTTTATTGCCAAAAACCTGTATGGCAATTATGCCTGACTAGTTGTTTAACTTAAAAGAAGATGGTTTGCAATAAGCTTTTATATCTGCCTGCCCAATTAAGAACACAGCATTCTCAGCAACCCCAAGTCTTATATCATTTCAAATGGCAAATGCCTTCGGCATCCTAGAATAATTGACAACTTTGAGTTTTCTTCACTTTTTTGTTTGTTTTGGCTTTCTCCATCGCCTCTTGTCTGCCACACTTTGATGTTATCGTCTAGGATGTATTTTCATATCCTTTCTGGTTTTCATTTGTCGTCTCGACATTTCATATTTAACGTTTTCTTGGACCGTTAGGAAGATAAGGCGAGATTTCCTGAGACAGGCAGGATGTTTTATGGGATTGGGTAAGCAATATGTTTGACGATTTGTGGTTCGCCTTGCAGCAATAAAAGGACAGCAAGGAAAGGAGTTTAAATTGAATAATAAAATTCAGAAACTTCAAGAGTAAGAGGCTTGGACCAAGAAAGATCTAGTTATTTAAGGTTTATTTAGGTTTAAATTTTTACCAAACTCCGTGGAAATAAGCATAATTAAAGAGTGTTTTAAAGAAAGAGGATAACTAATTGGCAACCGAACTGCGCGTGTTCTTGGAACATGAATCATCTGTAGCCTATAGGCCTTGTTTTATTTATGCAGGTGGGTTTGAGATACGCAATTGCATATTACCGAGTATCTTTGTGCGTTTGTCATTTTGCATTTTGCAATTACTCCTTGTCAGACCACAGATACGCACACACACGAGTGTGTGTGCATGCCGTAAATGAATGGACCTGGTCCTTTGGCAGCACCTCCACTCCCCCAGCTCATCCTTTGTGTGTCCACCTGCTGTGCTGTGCTGTCTGCGGCTGTTGTGTTTGCCAGCGAAGAGAATTCAAATTATTTGCATTTATTTCGAGAGCACATTTAATTAATAACCGTGCGGCGATTATTCCCTACACTCAATGGCCAGGCATATGACACTCCCGCGGTGGCTCGAATTACTGAAACAAAATATAACTCGAGGCACGCGACCCAATGGAACCCTTTTTTCCCGTGCGGTTTGTTCGTGAAATGGGTACGTAAACAAAACGTTTCTGTTGCCGAGCTGTGTGGGAAATCAAACAGACAGAAAATAAGCAAAACAGTGAAATGTACAGACAAGTCGAAGTCAATATACCCTTTTCTATATGTTGAGTGAGTTTGTTCTAGATAAATGTATCTAGATCTAACATCTCTTGTTTGAATAGTTTTTAAAAAACTACAACTTAAACAATCCTCTATTTTACTAGCCAAAATGATATGGAAATCTTTAAATCGTTATGGAAATAAACATTTGGTTTAGATTATATATATAACCCTTTGAAAGGGTTCAACAAAAAAGAGTGGTTCAGTCGAGCGGGAATAATAGCTTTGGCCAAAATGAAATGACATCGGCTGAGGACGGCGGCCACTTCAGTGTGACAATCTAATTACACGGCTCGATGTGCTCTAAGCATGGCTTTTAGCCAACAGACATCAGAAACCCTTAACTCCCGGAAACACCACCCTCTAAAACCTTATGATCGCCCATCGGAATGGCCTTTGATGTCGCGCTGTGAATATTCGAATACGTCAATTGTGAGAATGATTGCTGAAAGGGCTGTCTGATTCGAGCCCCTTCCCCGCAAAAGTTTCCGTTTGCTGTCCATTTTCTATTATTAAATAGACAGTGTCAGGTCGAAGAAGTAGCAAAAAATTACCGGAGTCCTATCCGAAACATGGGCGGAACAAAAAGCCGGTCATTGCTCATTGTTGGGCGGAACACGTATTGGCCATAAAACGTACACGTCGCTGGGCTGGGCCAATCTGGCCAAAAGAATCGAGTAACGAAATCAAAATAAAATTGTCCGTTAAATTCCTTTTCTTTTTGCTCTAGTGGAATGAACATAATCGGGGGGTTAAGATAAAAGGGGGTGACGGGTTGCCCTGGTTTTCAAATAGATTTTTGAAAAGCCCCTCAAGGCATTTCACTGGATTGGGAATTTATTTCTTTAAAGCAAACCATCAAGGGGTTTCCAAATTCTTCGTATATTATTCAAAATTAACATAAAAATTCAATGATTATGAATTATGACAAATCAATAAAGTTTTGTCTAAGCCATAAATAGTCAGTGAAATATATTATAAAAGTCATAATAATAAACATTTTTGGTAGTTATTTGGTGATTGTTGTTTATAATCTATATTAAAAGCAGAAAATAAGAAAATTGCGTTCGCAAGCTAAATAATAGAAACAAAATTAATAAATCTCCATAAATTTTAACTTCGCAATGGTTCGACCGAATTCCATAAAATAAATTTAACTTTCCCAAATGTTCTGTTGGCTTTGGAAATTGAATTTCCAGATCGCAGATTGTATCGTTTTCAACCTTTTTTTTTTTGTTATGCACCCCAAAGCAATATTTTTTTTAACATTTGTTTGCTGGAGGGCCATAAAAAGCTGGGAAACACGAATTCAATTGCCCGAATTACACGCTCCCCTAGACGGACATTTGATCTTTTGCAAGCCAAAGTATCTCAAGTTGATTATGCCCGTATTGACTGGCCTTCCGGGATACAATTTGGGATTCTCTTAGGATATCTGGGCAAATTGTGCGACAATAACGAATTAACGGCCGTGTGTGGAGCGTGAGTTCTGAATCTGAAGTGGATGGGATCAATGGTCATGGGTATTACCGTTTCTCGCTGGACCGGACCTGTTGTTCATGCAATTTAGACCCTTTTTTTTTGTTTGGTGTTGTGTTGTGTTCTGCCTCCGTTGTATTGCGGTGACTGCCAAGAGTTGGCAGACAGTGAGCGTCAACAGTCAGCGGTCAGGTATTGTGGGGGGGATGGGTTCCAAAGGGGGTTACTCGGTGCTCGGTGCTCCAGGAGGGGTGTTCCAGTTCGTTGACTTTCACGTGCGACGAGCATTTGGTAGCCGTAGGTTGTTTTATTTATTGTGGCCCCTGCCCTGCCTCTCATCTTTTTTTTTTCTGCTCTTGTATTTTTTTTACGAGCCTTACTCGCCGGCTTTACCTGTGCACGCGTTGGCTTTTGTAAATGACAATTTTACCGTTTTGTTGTGGATGTCTGAACACCCCGTATACTTCACCTGCCTCCTCTCGCTGGAAAACGGTCTGAAGTGCTTTAGATTGCGGCAAGTGGTGTTGCCGGAATTCCTGAGCCATAAAATAGCTAGATCGGCAAATAAATGTGCGAAGAGTTGGTTAAATGCTAATAGTCTATAAAAATTATGGCATTTTGGTCAACAACTTACTTGGAATAATAATGCTATTATGAAGTAAAGCAAAGGAAATAGCTCGAAGATAAAAATAATAACAGCTAATTATATTTAACTGTTAAAATAAATAAATAAATATGCTGACCAACTTTCTTTTGTAACGCAGTTAAGTGTAAGGAAAAGAAATTTGAGATTTTTTATATTATATAATGCACTGCAACCAGCTTTAATTTTTGGTGTAATTAAAAAGCATTTTCTAATGTTACGTATTCAAATTATCTGAAACGACAACACTGATGACAAGTGCTGGAACAGCAATTTGTTGAAGCCGCTTCAATGTATTCTTTTTGCCTTTATTATAATGGTTTTTGCTGTTGTTGTTGTTGGTTTTGTTGTTGGTGTGCATGGCAGGAAATTTGTGTTATGACTTTGCTAATGTCAAGTGCAAACAAATGTTTAAGCCCAAACGACGAAGGCGAAGCTTAAAATGAAGCAGCAGGCAAGCCACGAAACGAAAATGGCCATAACATTTGTTGCAATCAGCATAATCAAAACAGGAGTTTTTGGGGCAGAAAGCGGGGAAGTATGAGGCGGGTATATAATCACACCGCATAAAGCTAAAGGCAAAGGTGAGGTGAGGTGAGCCCCCGAGAGTGTGAAACGGAAAATATGTTTCAGATTCGGTCTCGAGTGTCGGGTTATTGCACGGCAGGTGCTCGAAGATGAAACGCGAAACCATCGGAGGGGGATCCGATTCCTGTTTGGGCCCCTGTTTCCGCACCGCTCGCTCTCACCTGTCTGATCCATCCAGCTTCTAGTCGCACCCAGCCAGCCACTTCATCAGTCTACGTGTATAATGATGCTTTGAAGGGCCCTGTGTGGCTAAGACACACGTAACTGAGCATAAATAAATCAGCATTAAAAGCAAACCAAAGATGCAAGCGGAATCCTAATTGCGGCGAATGTATTAAACGATATTGCTGCACAGCGAGAATTGTTTTGAAGTTTACGAGAAAGAGGTGCTAGCATTAATTGAAAATAATAAAACTGCCAACATACTAAATTATAATGATTTAGTTCTTGTTGTTTATTATAACAAATGAATTAAAAATATAGTTTAACAGCATTCGCTTCGATTAAGACTGCGTTTAGCTATCGCTAAAGTTGTCAGAATTGATCTGGCACACCTCACGAAATATGAAAACCCACAAACGTCATGTCAATTTAAAGAGCTGCCAGATAATATCCAGTGGGGCAGGCAAATCGGATTGGGTGGAGGTGGAATGGAGGGGTGGAGAGGGGAGGGAAGGGGAGGGGAGTGTAGAAATGGGAATCGAGAGCGCAATGCTCGCCTGCCTGAATGTCAATGAAATAATCCTCGGCCCACCTCTCAGAAATATGCGCCTGTTGTTTTTCGTTCGTATTTGTGCATCTGCATATTTATTAAATGCATCTCACATCGCTCGCCATCATCTCTACTCCAATTTGATATATTACACAACATAAAACGAATAAACAACGAAACGGACCGAAGTACTTACATATGTACACACAAACCAGACTCGATGTCGGTGCCGTGCCGAAAGAGACGGGGATACCGCCATTGAAAGAGACAGCAATGCACAGATAGATAGTAGTCGGATTGTGGGTGCGTTTGTATGCTTTTGTGTATGCATTCAAAGGAATTAATTAATGTAGACAGCTGCAGACGAGCGCTGCGATTGTGGAAATGTGAAACAAAATGCAATTGTGCCCACATCTCGAAGATAGCTGCTGGAGCGATGGAGAGAGATGCAGATACAGCTACAGCAACAGCTACAGATAGAGGTTGAGATACAGATACAGATGCCCAGATAGAATCGGAAAGAGAGACATCGCAAAGTCGGATGCTCGGGGAGCCGCCTCTGAAGGCAAACTAATTATCCCCGCCATATGTTGAGTGACAATCAGACAGCTCGGGGAATTCAAAGGCGATTGCCTGGGGACGAGGTGGCCAAGTGGAAGTGGGAATCGGAATCGGAATCCGAATCCGAATGGCGATGGGATGTACGGCTCACTGAAAAATTAGTACATCAACTGTCAAGCGCTATTAATAGCTCCCACTCATTTGATTTGGAGACATCACAACACAGGAGAACTTCATTAAAAAGCACCTTTTGGAGATCAGCACTCCTATACGTGTCCAATAGGGTTAATGATTACGTAAAATACTTAATGCTTAATGGTATTCTTAACATTAGGAACTTATTGAAACTCACGACATGGAATACCCATGTTATTTTAAAGTTTTAAAAGTACGTGAAGTAATCTTTTCATAATTTCCGAACACTTCATAAGCCGATTTCTCATGTAATAGCCTGTGAAGTTCACCCAATTGAACTGTTTTTCCCATAGAACGTAATGGGGAAATTATGAACATGATTTATGGGTAGTTTGCAGTTAACTTTTGATTTGCTCTGCTCCATGACCTCTGCACATCTCTACCTCTCCTTTGCTGCCCTCTTTAATGGAGTGTGCTTGCGTTTTGATTTCATTTTCCCTGCACTTCTTAGCCAGTCTTAGCCCAACCGAAGTTGAAAATACAGCCAAAGGAACCGGCGGGGGGCCTGATGAGAGGAAATGAACGATGCCGGGCTGAAAATATAATTTCTCATTGCGCTTTAAGCACACTTCACTGGTCTGATGTATGTCAATTAGTCGACAAATTGATTGCGGCGCATTCAACGCCGCCCAGTCGAAGAAGTAGGGTGGATTGTCGGCTTGTCGGAACGGAGGGCAATGATGATGCTGTCTGGCTTGGGTTGGGTTCTGGGATCTGGGCTCTGAAATCTGTGATGTGGGATCTCGGGTCCGAGAGAGCGGACCCCTTGGCTTCCATTACGATTCCGGGGCGGAGTTGCCGGTCAACAGAATCGCTCCCGTTCGCGCGTCCATTCCCCTAATGCCCGTCAATTTTAACGATTTCATTTGAAGTTAATTTTAATTGCGCTTAAGTAGGAAATCTCAATTTCACAGCCATTTCGGTTCACAATTGAGGCAGGCAAATCAGCACGAATCTCAATCGTGATTTCAGTGCTGCTTTAGCGTCGTTAATTGTGCATTTAACAAGGGTTCGGCATGTCTTTTAAGAAAACTCAAATCATTTTGTATATAAGGGCTATTAAAATGTAAAACTTGTGGTTAAAGAAAGCGGGTTTTCTTTTGATTTTTGGTTGTATCAACCTAATGAATTAATTATGATAAAAATATCTAGCTCCAACGTCAGCATCAATTTAGTTATCATCATGTTAATGACAATACAAGTTTATTGTGCCTGATCATAGTGCTAATATAAATTTCTTTTTTGTTTGTTTTCATTTCAGGTACATAAATGAGTTAACAATAGGCAAAAGCTATCTGGAAAATTTTGGAATGCGTTTTAACAGTGGTAAAAATAATTCCTGATCACTTTAATAGTAAATGATTTGTCAAAATGTTGTTGTGATACATAGCAAAATAATATATACCTTTATCTGTGCAGCCATTCGTGCACATCATAAATTATAATGAAAGGAATACAAAACGGCGTATTTGTCTGTTTAATAATATTAGGGGGTAGACAACCAAAAAATAAATATATATATTTTCATCTGTCAAATTATCTAGTTATGGAAAATCGATTCTACGCCTGCTTTAACCATTTCAATTCAATAACCATTGCAATTTTCCCCTTCCAGGCCAAAATATTTTGCAAAACTTTGCAAAAGGCAGCCAGCTAAAAATATTTTGGCAAATGAATGCAAAACTGTTGCCGAAAGCCAGAGCGAAATGCAACAAACAAAAAAAGAGAGTGTGGTCTACCGATTCCGGGGCATTCCGCTCGTCCGTTATTAACTCAATTACATTTCTGTTGCCGGATAGATATGCAAAAATAACAAACCGAAAAATGATTCCGGCACCTGGGTAATGCTTCTTCTCTGGCTGGGCTAGTTTAATCCGTTTGAATGCGGAGAGGGTGATTTGGATTATTGGCAAGAACCAACAACATTTTGCTATTGTGACTGGATCATATCCTTGTTGGTCTACTGTTTTCCTGGCACTCGTAGGAAACACAAATATGCTTCAATCAGAGTTTAAAAAAAAATTGCGTATCGATTGCAAATCAAACACAACAAAAAAAGTTTAATATTTCTGACCCGACCATTGTCAAAAAGAAGGATTGTTTGATCAGTTTAGTGGTTTTTCACAAAGATTTTATTCATTAATTTAAATTAAACTCATAATTAAAACGTGGCAATATTGTTATATTCAAAATTTGATATTAAAGCAAACATTTTTGCGAGGAAAATTGCTTTCAATTTCAAATATATACATATGTATGCACATATTTTTTTTTAAACTTTTAGTGAGTTAGGACTTTTAAGATTTTGCATAGTCATTAAAGCTTTCTGCACCATCATTGATAGCAACAAAAACAAGCTGAAATTTCATCGATGAAAAACCAAGGTGTGTCAGTGTGTGCGTTAGTGTTGGTGTGTTTGTGGGAACCTTTTTGCTATTTCACGCCGGCGTTTTATTGACTTTATTGAGATAGTTTATCTGGTTTATCCAGTGCGTGAGAGTTTTGACCACAAAGAACCAACACATGCATGTTAATTTTGTTGTGATTGAATGCCACTCAAATGTGTGTGTACTCGATTGCGTGGGAGTGAGATGGCTAGACATGTTTATGGCCAGCCATCTTCTCCTTCTTTTTGGCCTTTTGTAACAGGTTTCTGCAAATTGATTCGCCTTTGTCTGTGTGCTTGTGAATGCAAATTGCTGTCGGCAACTGTAAAATTGCCCATAAACCTTTTTCCGAAGTATACGGAAAAAAACAAAACTTTCGGAAAGAGAAACGTGTAATATTTCATCCTTTTTGTCGATTATATCCGAGGGTTTCTCTGTGGGTGCGTGTGTATGTTTTGTGCCCCATTTTTACTCTCGCATTATAATCCATATCCATATTTTGATTCACGAGCAGAGCGCCGCTTGTTTTTGTTATTGCTGTACACAAATTTGAGGGTTGCTTTTTGATGTGCTCCCTGTCGTTACCGTTATTTGTTGTTATTGTTTTGGTGGTGGCTGCGCGTGAGAGAGCCCCAATCAAAGGCTCTCTTTTAGGTCTCACGTGCTTGAGAGGCGGAGAGAGTTTAAGTAGTTTTTATTTCTTTATTTTTTTGTCGGTTAACCGTTTTTGTTTGATGATTGCGGCTCATAACGAATAGCACCAAAAATAACCACCAGGTGGCGCATTTAATGCTGTTGAACTTTTGGAAATTTATAAAAGAGGAAGGGAAAGCAAGGAAATTGAAACTCCAGGGGGTTTCTAAATTATTGGTTTCGACTTAACCCAATATGGACGAATTACAAGCTTTACATACCTTTATTGTGGAAAAGAATATAAAAAATTGTGTAGTTGCTTTTTAATATATAAAAAATACTATATTTGTTGTTTTTAGTCTGTCTAGTTTTTTTTTTTATTTATTTTTATTGAGCTTAGAGAACCTTTGCATTTATCTAGCCTTAATTAATTTCTTTTTGTTTTTATTTTTATCCTTATCATTCAAACAGTGCTACCACCTGTTATCATTAAGAGCAAACGCAGCCTCTTGCATCTGGCAACGCCGTCTTTGGTCCTTTATAGTTTCCTTTAGCTTTGTGTCGCTATCTTTTCCCGCTCGTTTTGTGTCCCTTACGGGGACCTTCTGTTTCTGGGATGCCTAAGTGATTTTACGTGTTTGGTGCACCACACACGTCTTGCAGATGACCCAGCGCCCCCACTTCTCTTCCTGCCACTATTTCTTCCCTCTCCAAGTTTCGATTTTTCTACACTCTCTCAGGCTCCCACTTTTCCGCTCTCCATTCTCTCACCCGCCTGGTTATTATGGTATTTTTCCAGTGTGACCACCGCGCTCTGTTGTTTTTTCGGTCTCGAGTCGGAGACTCTCGTTCTCTTTCTCATTCTCATTCTTGGCTTCGCGCGCGAAACAACAACAGCAACAAGGCGGCGGAGGACGCGAAGAGCAGCGAAACGAAGGAGAGCAAATGCCAGGATATCGTATTCGCATCGGGATATAAAAATGTCGAGTGCAATGAGTCGGGCTTCTAGTCTCACGTACTTGCCGGGCTCGCGATGAATGTGGCCTTAAACCGTGGTCGTAGTCCTTGTTGTCCTGCCGCCGTTACCGTTACTTCTGTGTGTCACACCATGCCAAATGCAAATTAATAAACACCCTGGCCAAAAGTGAATCGAAGTGAAGTGAAGTTCAGTGAAAGTCAAAAAGCAAAACAAACCGTAAAACGGTAGTGAAGTGTGGGAGAGTAAAAGGGAATTAACTGCTCACGCACACACACAACAAAACAATCTTCTGGCATTTAATGGGCCAAAAACAACAAAGGCGTAAATCGCTACCAAGTTTATTACAAAAGCAGTCAAAATTTTCACCATTTATCCGCAAATATTTAGTGAGTATCTCGAAGATGCCTTCTGGGCCACAACCCCGCCCCCTTCACCACCATAAAGCCCCCCTTTCTCTCTTTTCTCAAGCGGAAAGAGCGGAAAGAGCACGCGTGCAAATGATGTTTGGCCTCCTCCTGCTGCACCTAAAAAAATCATATGATTTCTACGTATCATTTCGGACAAGAGACCACGATATTGATTTCCTTGTTAAAAGCGATGATTGAATTTCATAACATTTAAAACAATAACAATTACCACAGAAAAATTTAATTACCTTTAACGTACCTCCATCTCAATTTAATATTATTCCCACATCAAAGTGATATTGAAAACGTAAATATTAATTTGACCTGCGCATATTAATTCGAGATGTTTTTTTTTGTCTGTATGTAGCTGTTGTTATTGTTGGGGGCTTTTGGGGCGCAGAAGTGTAAAGCGCACGTCTTGAGGCTCAGATACGTCAATATAACAAAACACACAGATACACACGCTTACACTTACATAGCCATCAAGCAACAGCAGCAGGAAAAACAACAACAACAACGTCAATTTGTGAAGAAATGCGCGCTCGTGTGACCCTATAAAACCCATCGTCGTCCCCCTCGTTTAACCCCCCAACAAATAGGATATAGATACAAAATTTTTTTGTTTCTTCTTCGCTGGTGGGCACTCACTCACACACCTAAACACATTTTGATGTACTTGTCTCCCACACAAACACTCACGAGAGGAAAAATACCGATACAGATACGGAAATAGAGATTGTGGCAGGGGCGGATACAGGTATCTGCCTGGGGGGGGGCGATCAAAATTTTTTTTAAATAATGCAAGTAGCAGGTGGCAAATAATCAAAAATTATACGCAGTTTTATTCAAAACACACTGTACAAATAAATTAATTAATTTTAATCTAAATTGCGAATTCCATTTTTCTTTTCCCTCTTTTTAAAAACTTTTCTATAACTCTCTCGATGTCAATACTGATTTCGGAATGCGTATGTAGCAATGCTAGGCCAGTTAGTCTTAGGAGGAGGGATAGAAGTAGGGCAAGGAAGGACTGGCGACACGCTGTAACACGCAGGTTTCCGAAGTTCACACCAGTTCACTCGGTTCACGCGTTTTCTGAGGAGTCGGACGCATTCAAGTGAAGCACCTTTTTTCAGAAGCTGAGGGGGGGCGATCGCCCCTATCGCCCCCCCCCTGTATCCGCCACTGGATTGTGGTGGCACCTTTTCTTTGCCTTTTCGGCGGCCCTTTGCCTTAAGGCCCGGCCAATAGGTAACCATTAGATACTCTTGTTCACAGTGGGCGCACGATAATTGGAACGGAAGGTGAAGGTTGTGGAAGGGAAATAAACATCAATCAAATGGGTCCCATTCGGATTAACACTCTCAAAAGGTGATTCAAAATAATTTGTTACAAACTGTGACAAATTATTTTAAAAGTTCTGTGGAAATACAAACCAAATAAAAGTAAATTCAATAAATTTTTGTTGACGGTTGATTACTGTAGAAATATTTAACAAAGTGGAATTGCATAGATTCTTTTTTAATAAGCACCCACTGTACTGGGATAAGTGGCTGCCTGCAGCTGTCTGGTTTTGGCCTGGTATCCATTAGATACATTTGCCGTCGCCTGGGGGTGCGTGTGTCGGCTTTGTTGCCGTGGCTATGACTCTGGCTGTAGCTAAGACGGTCGAGATTGCCCGGATTGCCTTTATTTGGGCCACAACAAAGTGGGTGACATGTGAGATGGGGCCAGAACACGAGAAACACTGTCTAAGCAATGCGATTTGGTTTTACGGTGGCGGAACGGTTGACGGAATTGTTCATTTGAGACCTGAATAATGCATTTTCAATTGGCCATAACCATTTCCGACCCCTCAAACACCAAGCACCACACACAAGCCCACATACCGCTTATAAGCTGCGGTTTGCCTTTGATTTG